CAAGTATATAAATAGGTACCACTTCGATGGGAAGGTAACAGCGTTCCGTGCACCTTGGTGTTTACTCATGCCGGCCACATGACCACGGAAATGTCTTCGGACAGCGCTGGCTCTTCGGCTTTGAAACAGAGATGAGCACTGCAACCCTAGAGTCGGATTCGACTGGCTTTCGAGCAAGGGAACCTTTACCGTTTTTTTTAGCCACTTAAACAATTAAGCAGGAGTGATCGCTGAATGCATGTAGAACTTTCCCCACCCCCCAGGAATTAATATGTTCATGAAAAATGTGGCTGTAAACAGTTGGCATGAGTGACCGTGGTCTCTCTTCAACAGTGTGTCCTATCCTGGTTGCTCACAAAAGGGCTTATTTTTAGAACTGGAAAGGGTTCAAAACAGGAGAGGCACAGAGAATCGTACGGCTGTGCACTTCCGTAGACAGTTGGGTGTAGGAAGTAGGGCCATTCATTGAAAAAGGCCAGCGCTAGGACCCAGCAGGACCGTTCTATTGTTATGGGTACACTTCAACTGTGTAAAAGAACCATCACATGTCCCTAGGGGAGACCTGTGGCTTGGCCACCTTGCATTGCAGCTGCAGCGGATGGATGCGTGGGCTCAGTGTTAGCAGCCAGGGCCTGCCGCAAAGCATGAATTGGCTCAACCCAACCCTAAAGAGGGGGCTGAAGAGAGAGTTAAAGTCTAGTATCGGAGGGGGGAACTCTTTTGTGGGGGGCCCCGCCCCGTGTCTTGCCCTACTTTGGCTGCTTAGAAAATTGTGTCTGTCCCTTCTTGCAAGGTTGGATGTTAAGGGAGAGAGGGAGCCTACTGCAGTTTTATAAACATTTAACTCCACCTCATGGGACTCTACAAGACACATTGTTGTGGGTGTGCCCTAGCTCCTCGCAACCAGATGTATGATGGGAGTTCCATGTTGAAACTTGGACAAACAGGTTGTTATGTCCGCTGACCGCCACCAGGGGCCAGCAACTACCCCACCCCCCCAGCTTGACTCCGGAGGAACAATGGGGACTGGGCTCCTAGTCTCTCCACTGGGGAACCAATGGGACTGTGGCGGGAGATTCAAACCCACCAACAGGAACTAGGGATGGGTCCCCCGTGTGTATATAGTTGGCCAGCCGGCCAGTAGTTCTTTGTCTTGTTGTGCACCAGCAAACCATGCTGATCACGACACCAGGATCAGCGGTTTCTACATGCATCTAACCCTCTACACTTCACAGGTGGAGATCTGGTTTGGATCCGGGCTGCAGCACATGGGGTGAGAGGGCTTAGATCTCTCCCTGCATCCTGCACGGAAATGCCTTCAGGGATCCACTGTTTTCCCTGTTCAGAAATCCTGCATGTGGACCATTACTACACGTGTAGCCCATCATAACACACAATCCTCTCCCCTCCAGCATTTTAAATGTGCCTGAGACCTCCCCCGGCACTGGGTGTTGCCCAGAACTGCAGTGACGCCTTTTTATCTTTGCAGACATAATACACTGTAGTTATCACTGTAGCGTTCACATTTTGTTTTGTTCTCGCTTCTGCTAAACCTAAAGCAAAGGACAGCAGACTCCTGCAGGGGGAAAAAAAAGTGGAATGTGAGCTAATTTAAGCATCTAACTCATTGCAGAAAATGTTTGCTAATCTTTTTCCAGTTTCCCCGACAAAACGAAACTGTCACATCCATTCAGAAGCTTAAATAAAATACACTGCACTCAGCAACTAACATCCGTGTCTCCAGAACTGAGAGGTGCTGAGTCTGCATGTGCCGACTGTGCGGGATCCAAAATGACAATTTGCTTCTTAAAAAAAATACACTGCACTCAGCAACTAACATCCGTGTCTCCAGAACTGAGAGGTGCTGAGTCTGCATGTGCCGACTGTGCGGGATCCAAAATGACAATTTGCTTGCTCAGATAAAGTCCTCCATAATAAGATCCTTTGGCCCCGGTCCCACGGGAGGTTTTGCCCCACAAGAGGGACGGATCGGGGGCGCAGCAAACGGGCGTGATCACACCGCAACATCTGGGAAGCGGCGTGCACCCGTCCCCGATCCGTCCCTTCAGGCTGAAAATGCACATTAAAAAAACCCCTAGGAAATAGTAGCACCTACCTGAAACGCCGCAGCAAGCACAGCCGTGGGATCGCTGGCGCGCCCATCTTCAGGAGCATTCGAGGCTCCTGGCCAAACTGCGCATGCGCACACATGCGCAGCCGGCTGCCTCGCTCTCCCTTCCGTGGCTTCCCTCCCCCCCGGCATCTGATCGTGCCGGGGAGCAACTGCGTGGCGGCTCAGGGGATCTGTCTGATCCCACCGCCGTGTCTCTCTTTTGGTGCGGCTCTAAAAAGCCGCACTTTGGCCGCATCAATTTCCCCCATGTGACCCTTGTTCAGCAACACTGGGGCAAACCAAAATGTGTAGCCTGTCACAGTGCCTACCTAAGACCACTTTCCTGGGAGTAAGCCCCACTGAAGAGACTTAAGTAGGATTCTGAGTAGACCAAGTTAGGGTTGCTGTTTTAGGCTGCGATCACACACACTAAATACCGTATTTTTTGGACCATAAGACGCACTTTTTCTTCCAAAATAAGTGAGGGGGAAAGTGTGTGCGTCTTATGGACCGAATACTGAGCCCCAGGGTTCAGAATATTTTTTTCCCTGTTTTCCTCCTCTAAAAACTAGGTGCGTCTTATGGTCAGGTGCGTCTTATGGTCCGAAATGTACTTTCAATGCACCTTTGAATCAGATGTTGCCAGTTCACACAGTAAAAATCCAGTTGGAAAGTGCATTGAAAGTGGATTATTTAGTGTGGGTGATCACAGCCTTTATAGTGCTATCCTAAACAGAATTGTAGCATTCTAAACCCATTGATATCAACAGACTTAGAAGGGTGCAACTCGGCTCAGAAAGGCACTGTTACTGGGCTAAATCTATTAAGGGAACTACTTGACTGTGTAAATAAATACTGGATCACAGCCAGTACATGCCGGTTCAGAAGATTCAGTATCTCAACAATTCCGGACTTAATCTGTTTTTTAATTCTGCAGTCTGAAGATCAGAAGCAAGGATTCTGCTATACACCCAACGGTGGGATTTAGTCATCTTGTTCCAGAGTGTCAGCACCCAAGATTGTCCTTTGGGTTACAACTATGCAAGCAGCTAATTTGCCTAATGCTTGGGCTGGGAGTTGGTCACTAGACGAACTAGCTGCTTTGAGCTGCTAATCTCAGATGAAAGGCCTGGGTATCAGTCTTCTGTGTGCAATTTGTATTGTTTCCATATGGGAGGAAAAACCCACCAGATATTTTTGAAGTCACTTAGGGAAGTGGGTAGAGGCATCAGGTGGAGCTGACTCTTCTTCCAAAATGGTCCATTTCAAGCAAAATGCCTTCTCTTTCTTCTAATCTTTATGATTACCTCTGATTCCATGAGTGGGAGAAAACCAGAGGTCGTCTTGCCCACACAGAACTGGTCTGTGACCAAGCACGCCTAACAAAAAATAATCTTCTCTCCTGCAGTAACAGTTCCTAAACTTCATGGAAAGCCCTCACGCAGGGCATGAAGGCAATAGCCCTCCCGTGGTGCTGCCCCTCTGCAATTTGTATTCACAGGCAGAGTACCTCTGAACACGGAGGAATTTCATTGTCACCCAAGTTGAAAAGACTCACTTCAGATACCTTTTGCTATGACCCAGTGAACACATAGAATTGCCATCCAGTTTCCTGATGGTTCCTGTGCCTCAAAGAAGTTCAGCATCTGAGTTCCTCTATTCATCTCCTCCACAAGAAAACTGCAATGGTTGAACAAAGCTTGCGTCCAGTGGCACCTTTAAGACCAACACAGTTGCAGTGACTGAATGTCTATGTGACACAGGGACTATCCTGGGTAGTAATTTGGTTTAGATTTGCCATCATTTATTCCTGCAGTTATCACAGAGGATTCAGATGACATCATTAACAAGCCGCTACAATACAGCGTTCTCCTTGTCATCCCCCTGTCTTTTCTTAGAATGGGTTTGTAGTGATCTAAAAATAAACTTTGAATGGACTGGTAGTGATAACCTGTCTGCTGCGGAAGGGCAAAAGCACTAAAGATGTGCCCGGCAGGAGAAGAAGTTGGGCTGATGATCGAGGTAGTGCTGCCCTACTGTTTCCTGGGTGCATTGCCCTTTTACAATGTCTGGCAACCAACAGTTGTTAAAATGCTTCCATCGAGGGATGCCAGCCTCCCCTGGAATTACACCTAATCTCCGGAGTACACAGGTCGGTTCCCCTGGAGAAAATGGATACTTGGGGGGGACGGGGACTCAATGGCATTGAAACCCACAGAGGTCCTTGTCCTCCCCAGACTCCACTCCGAAATGTCCTGGAGTTCCCCAACCAGAAGCTGGCAACCCTACACCCCCACACACACTAGTGGCTGGGGGGGGTGCAGACCAGACAACCTTTCTTCCACCGGTAAAAAGAAGCAACCAGGCAAATATAGAAGAAGCGACAGCTCCACACACACTGAACCATTCTTGTCAAATTAAACTTTTAAAAGAGCTTCCCCCACCCCTTTCCATTTGTCCTAAGTCACGAAGGAAGAGCCGAGAGTGTGTGGTAACAGTTAAGAGTTTATCCTTTAATGTCAATAAATAAGCAGCTAGAAGAATCTGTTCATTTCCTCCGAGTCAAGGAGTCTCACTTTGTTTGTTTGTTTGTTTTCCCTAACAAAATGTTTCCTTCCGTTTGTGTGTGCATTAAAAAATCCAACCCCTGGGCTGAGGTGGGTTCTAGTCGTGTGAAGAGGGGGGAACGAATGTCGTTCGTGTGGGCACTAATGCAAAAAGCAATGGGAGGGGGAGTAGGGTGTGTGTATGTGTGTGTGTGCAGGAGCTAGGATAGGCGGGGGGGGCTCAAAATGTACAGAAGCCAAGAAGGGGGTGGAGTTTTGGGGTGGGGTAGGGTGGGGTGGGGGGGGGAAGAAGCTGGCAGGGAACACTGTTCTTTGCATGCAGGGAACACGGCATGGCAAATGCCGGCGTTATGGCCCACACTGGTAAGTCCCCCATAAAGGAGTTACAGAGGGTGTGCGGGGAAGGGAGTGGCTATTAAATAAAGGAGAGGTACAGAAGCAGAAGAGGGAGCAGCAGACGTGGCAGAGGGGGGTGAGGGAGAGATCTTCACTGTTGGGGATGATGAAGAGGTTATTTCTGTGGCGACTGAAAAGTTCACTTCCTCATCCTTTCTTCTAAATCCCCTGGAAAAAACAGATGGGGGGGGGAGAGAATAAAACAGAAGTGTGAGTGCCAGAGGAACAGAGAGCGCAGGAAGCTGGGCAACCTAGTGCAGGAAGTCACAAGCCACAGCTTGGTGTCAGCATGTGGCCGCCTTCTCTTTTCTTCCTGGCCGGTAGCCCCAACACAAAGCTCTTTGGCAAGCAGACCTGCCCTTTTCCCACTGAGCTGGCTAAATTGCCTCCGTCCCACCTTTTAGGGGGGCATCTTGAATACAGGACGCTGCCTTCTGCTGAATCAGGGTGAAAGAAGGCATCTTCTTGGGGACTGGTACAGCCCTCTCGTTTTGCTGTTCATTATACTAAAGCAGAAGGCGCTGCGGTGGCTCAACTGGCTAAGATGCTGAACTGCAGGCTGTGGAAGGTCGGTAGTTCAGCAGTTCGAGACCCGAGTGTGCCGCATGACGGAGTGAGCTCCTGTCTCTAGTTCCAGCTCCTGCCAACCTAGCAGTTCGAAAGCAAGACATTGCAAGTAGATAAATAGGTACCACTTCAGTGGGAAGGTCACAGCATTCCGTGTGCCTTGGTGTTTAATCATGCCAGCCACATGACCACGAAAACGTCTTCGGACAGCGCTGGCTCTTCGGCTTTGAAACGGAGATGAGCACCGCAACCCTAGAGTCGGATTTGACTGGCTTTCGAGCAAGGGAACCTTTACCTTTATACTAAAGCAGGCCATCGGCCCATCCAGGTCAGTATTGTCTGCTCAGACCGGCAGCAGCTGTCCAGGGTCTTGGGCTGAAGACTGTCACATCACCTACTAGCTGGACTTTTTTCCATTGGAGATGCCGGGAACTGAACCTGGGACCTTTTGCCTGTGTAGTGGATGCTCTACCACTGGGCCAGAGCTCCTTCCTTTCAAAAGGGATTATCTATTTTTCTAGCAGAGCTCTCCTGCCTGCAGCAGGTAGGTAGGGTGTTCCCCGTGCACTTGGGAGACATCAGTTCCCTGATATCATGTGTGATGTCAAGTTGGGCTGGGGATGCCCCAGTCTGACTCTCGTCTCATCTGCATCACCTAGTTTTGCTCCTATTCTGAACTTTTGCTCGGAGTTTCATGAATGTACTTCAGGAAAGGGAAGGTTTGCATGAACTGGAACAAGCAAATCTTCATGAGTCTTCCTTTGTTTTGTGTGGACATTCATCAACTTCATTCACTTGAGGTGGGAGGAATCGGAGCCAAGTGAGAAGAACCAAGGAGATCCAAACTGTTGTTGGAACCTGCACTCCTACACCCGATGCCGCATCCTGCGGACTTCCCGAGTACTTTCTAACATGGGTGTCCCAGAGGTTTGATTGCTCAGCATGCAATAGCAAAGCTAACATTACTACTTCTGGAATCAAGGATCGAAGGGATCTGCAGCAGTGTGAATTGGCTGTGTGACAACGTTGTTATGAAAAGATGCTTGCAAAAAGCGTCTCACTCATCATTCTGAAACAAAATTTCTCCTAAGAGAGCTTTTCCGATCCTTCCCCGATCTCAGTTTTGTTCCTTATTTCAAGTCTTAGGGGGAAGAAAAGGGAAAAACCACCATCTCCCCACCCACCCCAATTCTCTTATATCTCAAGCCCCACATCTGAAGCAGTACATTGATCGGCCATACAAATAAAGAAGCAGGTGCTGGATTTCCCTGGCATTGCAAAAGGTCTTTCCTGGCAAGAAACAGCCTAGTAAGAGAGAAATCTCTTTCTCAGCATCAGGTATGGCTCAAGCCATGACTTTGCCAAACAGGGCATTAACAGAGGCCCAAGACACCACATCCCCACCTTCAACAAATGTGGTGCCAAGCGATTGCTCACATTGGACTGACAAAGCATGGAATGGAGCAACCAGCAGGGGGCAGTGAAGGCAGCTAGGGCACAGGTGGAGAAGCCATGAGGGCCAGATGGGCTGGGAAAACTTGGAAAACTCACAAACTTCAGACTAGATCAATCATGCCTTCATTTTAAACACCATGAAACAGGAAGCAACGCAGAGGATGGGACCGGGCCAAGAGGACTTCACTGTATGTGAAGAAGGGGGGAAAGCGCTCAGGAACCGTTAGGGCAGAAGAGGATCCACTGCTAACAGGCTCACTCACTGGGCACAGTGAAGCTTGTAATTTTACAGTCCAGATTTCAAGTCCTGAGCTTAAGCTAAGCAAATGCATTGCTACTGAGAGCTGTGGATGTAAAGCTCAAATAAATCCACAATTTGATCATTTGCATGTAAATTTACTGCTTCGTTTTAAGGGCCCCGAGGAGTAGTTAAAGTGGTTCTCAAACAGTATTTCAAGGATATTTGTTCCTTGGATATTTCTTGGGGGTTCCTCAAAGAGATCATTAGCGAAGGTGAACAAATTTCCCTGAAAGACGGCTTGCCTTCCTACCACTGATCTGTCCCTGTAGAATTTAGGCCACTTTCACACTCTGCATTCTCAATGCACTATAGCAACCCTTTGCAACTGGACTCTCCTATCTAGTTGCAAACAATTGCTATAGTGCATTGAAAGGGCGTCACTGCAACTGGACTCTCCTATGTGAAACAGAAAAATCTAGTTGCATACAATTGCTATAGTGCATTGAAAGGGCGGTATCCAATGCATACGAAAGCTGCCATAAATGCAAGATCACATCGAGTATGTTCAGGGGCACATGCAGAACATGCCACATGTAAGTGGAGGCCAACGTGTCCGGCCACTGTCTCACATGAACTCAGTGTGTATCCTAGAACCAGGGCTATTTTGGGGCAGGAACGTGCAGGAACGGAGTTCCGGCTGGCTCCTGAGTTGGCCACGCCCAGCAGGAACTCGTTAGCATAATAGGCCACACCCAACAGCAGAAACTCATTAGGATTGGCTTCATTAGGGTGTGTGTGGCCTACCATGCAAAGAAGGTCCTGGTACAAAAAAGCCCAGGGTTTTGACAACAAAGTAAACAGAATAAGAAGCAAAAGGTGGGTGTGGCTGGACAACCACACTTCTGGTAACATGGGGGTGTGGCCTAATATGCTAATGAGCTGTGTTGTCATGGGTGTGGCCTAATGTGCTAATGAGCTTCTGCTGTTGGGTGTGGTCTATTATGCTAATGAGTTCCTGCTGGGCTTTTTCTACCAAAAAAACCCTGCCTAGAACATATCCCACCGTCTTCTGCCATGCACAGAGATTCCCAGGCAGACAAACGGGTTCCTCAGCCAGGCAAGCTGATGTGGTTGAAAGTTTGAAAACCACTGGGAACGGTTGATTAAAATAAACTGGGCCTGAGGATTTGAAACCAGCCAATCGGTTTATAAAGTTGCCAGGTGGCAACTCTCCTTGCTCCAAGAAGCTGATTTTTTTTTTTTAGGCCTACACTGACCAGATTTCAGTGAGGTCATTTCGGGGGGGATCGCGGGGGATCGCAGTTCCCCCAGGTGAGGTGCGGGGGGGCGGGGCACACGATGAAGCCCCGCCCCCTGCTTTCGGCCGCCCCGCTTCCGGCCCTCATTCAGCCAGGAGGAGGCAGGAGAAGAGGGAGGGTAAGTTGCTTCCTCCCCGCCTCTCCCCACCCCTGCCTGCCTGGGGCCAGGGAGGGCCTTGGCGGGGCTTCCTCGCACTTCCTCCGGCCTTGCAGGTCCACCGCCGGGCCTTATGATGTCAGGGGGTGTGGCATATGCTAATGAGTTATGCTAATGAGTTCCCCTAGCTCTTTTTCTACGAAATGACCCATTTCAGTCAATCCATTATTGTTGTTTCATAATTAAAGTACTGGCTGCATACTAATTGTAGCTACTTCAGTTCATTATTTGTCATCTTAGTGTCATTTATTTGACACTGGACAATTTTTCTTGGAGCAGTTGGAAGTCATGGAGTGAGTTCTTTTTTTTCTGGGCAGAGTTTTCCTCTCTGGCCCTAAACGGAGTGCCGGCCCCAGCTTCCTGGACTGCCCAAACTGTGCAAACAGACTGATCAAGCAAAAAGAGAGACACCTTCCCCAGCTCCCCCCTGCAGGTATTCCCACATGGATGACTAGACAGAGAGGAGAGCAGGAAGAACAGGCAAGGCATGCGGTCAAGGGTCGTCAGGTACCTGGGAGGCAGGATACAGGAGAACAGAGGGGGAAGGAGTTTATGCTACAGGAGGGAAAGGATAAAAGAAATCACAGTTAATAGAGATTAGGAAGGGGGTGGGGAAGGAGAAGATAAAGGGGTTAGTGTAGATGGATGGAGACCCATCACCAAATGGAGGACTACTAGATGCAACCTTGGTAGAACGGCAAATGGATTCCTCGTGGAACGTTTTAAGTGGAAAAAATCAGCTGGGGAGGGGGGGGGAGAGTTCGCATTAGAGCTGTAGCATGGGGGGTAATTAACCCTTTACTCCCATGTCATTTTCCTGACTTCAGCCATCCCCGAGAACTGGTCTTTGCCCCATGGGAGAAACATGGGTACCGTGCAAGTACTCTGGACATGGAAGATAGCCTGGGGAAGCTCCTGTTGGTCAGCCATGTTGGTCTGAAGCAGTAGAACAAATTTAGAGTCCAGTGGCACCTTTAAGACCAACAAAGGTTTATTCAGTGTATATAAATAAACCTTTGTTGGTCTTAAAGGTGCCTCTCGACTCTAAACTTGTTCTACTGGGGGAGTTCCGGTTCCCTGCTTATCTCCCCACTAAACTCAGTTTGCAACACAAACTTTTTGGGGAGAACTGAAGAATCCCAGTTCCCACCCATGTTTCCTACACTTCTGCTGCAACACAACAAAGTCCACTGCACTCTCAGGGCACACCAAGGAGCCTGGGGACCCCCAGCCACCTCAGCTCCCTTAGGGGGATCTCTCTTCAGTTGCCCATGTAAGAATTTCAGATTCTTTTAAGTGCCGGGTCCAGCACAAGGCTGAAGAACAGTTTCTAGGAGGAAAACTTCACATGGAGAAGCATGAGTGGGAGAAGCTAGGGCAATCGGAGACTTGGAATCTCGCCAGCCTTCTGACCGAGGGCCAAACCGCATAAATGTGTTTACACAAGTTCACCACATGGACACGCAGCCGTACTGCAGCTAGCTTGCAAGTTCCTGGTGGTAACTCCACTTAGAAGCAGATTGGGACTGTGATGTGGGCAAATAAAGCCACTGGTGCCATTTCGGCTTGGGAAGAGGAGCCCCGCTCCTTGTGTTGCAGTCCCAATCCAAATTGGTCTCCTGCAGTGCTTCTAAACTGAGTTGCTACCGGGAACCCACACCTGTAGTACGGCTGCAAGTCCCCGTGGCGCATTTGTGTAAAACGTGTCATGTAGTTTAACCGTTCTGTCCTGGATGGAGTTGGAGATGATGGAGGGTCACAGGGAGTAATGATAGTCGTGGGGGGAAGTCAGGGAAGAACTAAAGGAGAAGGGAAAGTCATCTCTTATCCATGCTGACAGTTTCTTGCACATTCTGTCCACAGGAGGAGCAAGAGGAGAAGTCTTGGAGAGGACTGGGGGAAAGGACTGGAGTACACCCAGGGGAAAGAAAAGGAAGTTAAAGGCAGGGACTTACGTTCCAGATAGTTCCGGGCAACGAATTTGAGGATTTCATCCAGAAGGATGACAGGCAAGGATATCTTCAGCACCACCATCCAGTGATGGAAACCCAAGTGTGTCAGTTTGAAGATCATCTGGGGAAAGCCAGAGAGAAAGGTTAGTGTTTGGCCCTGAAAGTCCAGCTCTGAATGCAAAGGGACAGCAGCCTCTTCTTCCCCCAAAAGAAAACATAGAGATAAGAGTCCTAGAAAACACACAGGGTTGCATGTATGTCACAGCTTCTGCAGGGACACAGAGCATGGTACTGGATGCAGCATTCAGCTTCCTGAGAATCTCGGCTTTCATTTCAGAAAAGGAAAACACAATGCAAGTCACTAGCCCTCATGGATGCGAAGATATGCTTGAAAGAACGTGGGTGATGCTTGCTGCGGTCTCCAAAACGAGACGGGCAGCTGGTTGGGACTTCCAGTGACCAAGAGGCGCCTTGCATATGCCTTGCGTATTTGCTCAGCCCTCCCTGTGACTAGCAGAAGCATAATTAATTATGCAAAACAATCAAAATTATGCAAATTTCCTATCTTTGTATCACCTTCGCTGATGCTTTTTTTCCTGACCAAAGACTATACACAGCCCTGGGAAAAACCAGGGTAGGCCAAACTTTCATCTCACCCAACCTCAACCCACCGGAAGGCAAGAAGTTGCCTTACCCTGAACTAGACCCTTGGTCCATCAAGATCAGTATTGTCTACTCTTCTGACTAGCAGCAGCTCTCCAGGGGTCTCAGCCACAGGTTTTTCACATCACCTCCCACCTGATCCTTTTTAACTGGAGATGCTGGGGATTAAAGTTGAGACCTCCTGCCTGCCTAGCTGATGCTTACCACTGAGCCACAGCCCTTCCTCTGAGGGGCATAACACTCTTTAATGGTGCCCAGGGCTATTTTTGGGCAGGAACGCACAGGAACGGAGTTCCGGCTGGCTCCCGAGCTGGCCATGCCCAGCAGGAACTCATTAGCATAATAGGCCACACCCAACAGCAGAAACTCATTAGGATTGGCTACGTTAGGGGTGTGTGGCCTAACATGCAAAAGAGTCCCTGATACAAAAAAAGGCCCTGGGTTTTGACAACAAACAAGGTAAAGAGAATAAGAAGCAAAAGGTGGGTGTGGCTGGATGACCACACTTCTGGTAACATGGGGGTGCGGCCTAATGTGCTAATAGGTTTCTGCTGTTGGGTGTGGTCTATTATGCTAATACGTTCCTGCTGTACTTTTTCTTCTACAAAAAGAGCCCTGCGGGCCTTTCATGCATTTTAACTGCCAGCAATGAAGTGATCACAGACTTGATGTACAAGGAGACCTGGCAATGGGGCCATGGGGTAGCAGTACTTACAGGCATGGGATCAACATAGAGGATGAAGAAATGCAGAGACATGGAGAGACAGATGGATCCCAGAAGCCAGAAATTCACCCAGGGGGGCATCCGGACCAAGGACTGGTTTTCTGATAGACTGCAAAGGACAGAGAAGTGGGGAGTTGGAGTGAGGTGACCATCTTTTGCTTGTTTAATAAATACCAAGATCTATTAAGCAAAACAATAAACACTGCAGAATAAATGAGGTAAAATGAGCACATTTCTCCTGGGCGACTCTTCCCCACACAGGTTATTTGTCCTGGATTCGATGCTGCTAGGAAGTGTTTGTTTCTCCTTCCCCAAAGCATCGTCGGACATCCGTGCACCTCCCATGTTTCCCTGTTTTCCCCCCAATCTGTGTGGGTGGAAAAGTTCAGATTTTCTTGGTGTGCCCACATGGCAGCCATTTTCCCCACAGCAGCCATGTCCTTCACCCGTCGCCATGGGGGAGCATTTTTGTTGTTTTAATTGGCAATTGAACAGCATTATATTGATATAATGTTACAACAATATAGGTAACAAGTTATCTGAATTCTCAGTTTTCATGTTTTTTAAAAGATAAGTCTCTAGCCCCTTTCATTGCAGAGATATATGGGAAAAGGCATATCTCCACAACAAAAGAACCTAGAACGGAAGCTGGAAATTTCTGTGGGCAAAAGGTAAGATTTTATAACTGTGGAGCAGAGTTTTCCTGCCTCCACCCTCCCACAGCAGCCCCAAATGCACCCCCTGCTCTTGAGGGAGGGGGGACCTGATGTATTTTGCAATTTATGTTTTAAGTGAGTCCATATGTATGCTAGGAAGGTGAGTAAACACTGAGTATCTTTTTCCCCCTGGCACAGAATGTAAACACATTAGTGCTCTGGGACAGCAGAGAAAGAGCAATGGCCATAGATGAGAACTGGAGGAGGGGAAAACATGACTGAAGAATCTGCAAGGCTGTGCTGTGCATGTTTAGCTGAAATTGACCCTCGTGGGACTCCTTACCTGTTGAGGGCATTGCACATCTCAATGGTGACCAGCACGGACAAAGCCATGGTCATTGGGACGGGAGACTCAAAGATTTCACACTCCAAGCCTTCAAAGTCAGGATTATCTTCTGTGCATTGCATGAAATGTGACTGGGTGGCAGAGAAAATGGGGAAGCAAAGTTAACATAATAGTGAATAGCTCTCCTAGGTGAAGAAAGCCATAGACTGCTATTATTGGGAGCTTGTCAAACCTACAGGTGTGCATGCAGTTGTTCCCTATGGCGAGCTGCCGGGCTACAGGTGAGAGCATCCTTAGACTTTGCCTCCCCCTTCCCCGGCAACCATTGGCTGCTGTCACAGGTTTTCCCCTTGGTGGAGGCACATTAGTCCAGACCAAGAAGATCCAGCTGTTACCTGAAGGCCTGTTTACCTGAACCTATTGTAAGCCTTTAATCAGGGGTCGTTTCGTAGAAAAAGAGCTAGGGGAACTCATTAGCATATGCCACACCCCCTGACATCACCGGAAGTGTGTCATAAGGCCACACCCCCCGCCCCCAATGCGATCCCCCCCGAAATGACCTCTGCCTTTAATCCACCACAAAGGGGGAGAATACTCATTTAGAATATTTGCTTCAACCTGGGTCCTTAGGCAAGTATGTCTTTCTAAGTTTTATTAAGGCTAGGAATGGTGCTCAAACAAGCATGGTTAAAAGCATAAAATCCAAAAATCCAGCTTTTTGCCCTGTTTGAAGGGGAGGAAAAAAGCATAGCCCTGAATCATATGCTCTTGGGCAAGTCCCTTCGTTCCAGATAGAGGCCTCACAACACACATAGTTTAGACTCTCGACTCAACACTGTCCCAGGAAAGAACATAAAACAAATAAATTCTGGTAAGTAGGATCCTCATGCAGACATATAAGTCTGGGTCACAGGCAGTATTCGTTAAATGATCACAAAGTCAAAAAAGTATATCAAAGTTCACATCTGTAAATCCCAGTGGAGACCTATCTGCCATACCCCCATCTCACCTGGAAGGATTATCTACGTATTTTAGCCTGCCTGTCCGCTAATGAGCTCAAGGCATATGGTTGCCAACCTCTAGGTGGTAACTGGAAATCTCCCACTAACAACTGATCTCCAGGTGACAGAGATCAGTCCACCTGGAGAAAAGGGCTGCTTTGGAAGGTGGACTCTGTGGCATTATAACCCCATGGAAATCCCTCCACTCTCAAAACCCCGGCCTCCTCAGTTTCCACCCCCAAATCTCCAGGTATTTCCCAAGGTGGATCTGGAAACCCTCTTGGGGCAGCATATATGACCAATGTTCCCTCTAAGCTGCGGAGTCTTGTGCGCAAAGATTCTACTTTGCGAGCTCCTGGCATTAAAGTGGTGAGCGAGTGATCTGGCAGCTGCATAAATCAGTTTGCTCTGGAGCCCTCCTTCCTGAGCCAAGACAAAAATGTGTGAGCTGGAGGCTAAAAAACTGTGAGCTAGCTCACACTAACTCAGCTTAGAGGGAACACTGTATATGACTCCCCTCTTCTCCATTTGTTCATTGCAACAATCCAGTGAACTAGGGCCCCGGTCACACGGAGCATTAGCCACGCTACAGAGATGGAAGATAGGTGGATTTTCCGGGCGCGATCACAGCTAGGAAGCGTAGAGCTCCCGTGGATCACCCGAGGCTTCCCGCCGAAGATGCGGGTTAGAAAACTAGTACCTCCGAGGTACTAGTTTCCGGAAACCGCGGGGCAAGGGCGGGCGTCTGATCACGTTTCCAGTGGCATCCAGCGCCCGCCCATGTCCCCTCGCAAAAAGGGGTTTTTTTTCCCAAGTCTCCATGGGATGCGCACAAGCACCCAACGGAGCATGCGCACATTTCGGTTTCTTAAAAAAAAACACAACCCCGTTTGCTGCGCCGCCCCGCTTCTTTGCCTGTGGTGTGATCGGCACCTCCCCCCAACCACGGGACCTTGACGGGACCTCAACCGGACACCTGATCGCGCAGTCGCGCGTTTTTTCGCTCCGGGGCAAACAGCCACGCTCCCCCCCGCCCCGCGCATTTTCTGGCCCGTATGACCGGGGCCTAGGTAAAGCTGAGGGAAAGTGACTGGTCCAAGGTTACCACGTGAGTTTCACGGCTGAACTACGTGTTCGATTCCTCCTGGGGCTTGCCAGGGTCCAGTCCACAGATGTGGTCTGGGAGTTCTGTGTTTGGAAACCCAATTCCTGATTTGGATTGGGACCACAGCACATGGGGAGAGGGGGACTTACGCCTCTCCCCCCATGCCACTTTCCTGACTGGAAATGGCCCTGTGGAGCTGCTATCTGCCCCACTGCAGAAACTTAGTATGTACTGATGGGCTGCATGCGTACTGCAGGTAAGTCCCCACCCCACCCCCTGGCCCGCAATTCCTTCCCAGCCACAGGATCAGAGAAGTCAAAGCTCACCAACTGGTGATAGGTCACGCCAGGTCCATCATCAGCGTACATAAACCACCAAGCGGCAGCACCAACGGTGGCAGCTCCCACGTATCCTGTAGGGAGAGCAGAGGGAAAGGTCGGCACGAACAGAGAACGGAGGGCGACCTGCCTGTGGGCTCCATTCAGGAGGAACCCTGATTTCAAGAACTTGCTCTTAGCTGGACTAGATGCAATAGAAACGGCCTGCTCTCTGGCATGGGAGGCAGGGGCCGAGAGGAGGCTCAAAGGCACAGAGTCCCCCCCCCCATCCGAAGAAGAGAGACACGCATGAGAGACGCGGGGTGTGTGTGTGTGTGGAGGCGGGGAATCCTGTCAGGGACTCTCCTGCTTCCTTTCAGCCTGCTGTCAAGGTCCTGACTGTTCCCATGGGGGAAGACAGGAGATGGAGAGTGGTAGTTTCTCAGACTTTCCTCCCTCTCCTCCTGCAGTCTTCTGAGGAAAGAAGGCTGAGCTGGGGCTGACCCTACCACAAACGGAGACCAAGGATGCCGCCTCAAGCAGTAGGTCTGGAGAGGCAACCGATAGTCTGTTATCTATTATCAAAATCTGTTTGATATCGGGTGGTGGTGGTGGAAGGGGCCAGTAGGATTTCCTCCTCAGTGTGTACAACCATGGGGTTAAGCCCCCATCTGATTGGTGAGCTCCCCCAGTCAGTGGCGGACCTACATTTTTGGGACCTTGAAGCTTGAACTGGTGGAATGAGCTCCCGGAAGAGATCGGGGCCCTGCGGGACCTTTTGCAGTTCCGCAGGGGCCTGCAAGATGGAGCTCTTCCACCAGGCCTTCAATTAGGAGCCGCCACCATTACCACCATTACCATTACTACCAGCATTACCATCTATTATCATTATTACCATCAATCTAACAACAACACAAGCCTGGTGCCTGGTCTATTATTGATAGCCTGTGCTTGCTGACCGAAACTGAGAATGACCAACGAGCTGAATATCAAGTGAATTTACTGAATGTATGAGGCCATCTTTTGATATTATAAGTTAACCGCTAGCAGTAGAAGAATTGTTTTGAAGGGAGGAAACAATACTACTTTTGTTTTTAGATAACTCTGTGGATGTACAGATGATCTGTGCGGCAAAAGCACCATTTCGGAAGAGGCATTCCCCTACAGTGTGAGATAGAGAAAGGGGGATGCTTCTTCTAAGATGGTGTCTCCCATCTGCATCTTAAAATTAATTAACTTTTCAAAAACACATGTCGCCCAAGTAACGGGATCCACATGTTGAGTTGATCAAAAGGTTTTCAGTTAATTCATATAACCAGGGCTTTTTTGTCGAAAAAGCCCAGCAGGAACTCATTAGCATATTAGGCCACACCCTAGACAGCACAGCTCATTAACATTTTAGGCCACGCCCCCATGCCCAGGCAAGCCCCCCTTGAAGGGAAGGGAAGGCAGTTTAAACTGCCTTCCCTTGGCTTGCCCGGGCACCCCTTGTACAAGCTAGGGAAAGCACGAGGAATTTAAATGCCTCCCTGATCCTTCCAGGCCCCCCCCTGGCCCGCCCACCTTAGAGTCGTCAGGGGGGGGTCACTCTCCAGGCCTTCCGTCTGTAGCCACGCACACAGAGGTTTTGGCTGTAGTGGGCGTGGCCAACTCTGTAGACAGCCGGAACTCCGATCCTGTGCGTTCCTGCCCAAAAATAGCCCTGCATATACCGTAACTGATTAATGAACTGCATGCTGTGGCCCTTATGTTGTAGTATTTTTAAGATAAAGTTTAAAGTTTAGTGGCGCATAAAGCATCAGGCCCAATTTGTTCTATTCTGGAGCCAGAGGAAGGATAATGGGGAATTTGGAAGGGTTCTTTCCTGGGATCTTGGGAATGGTACAAAGATTTCTGACTTAGGGTTATATTTTATTTATTTCATGTATAGTCTGCCTTTCTCACTAGGAAGGGAGTCTAGAACAGGGGCCCCCAACACCAAGGGGTGCCAGGGCGCCCACCAACAACTTTCCAGGCCGCTGCCAAGTATTTTTAGAAAGTGGGTGAGGCCAAGTGGGCTCCTGCCCAGTAGGGCTTCAGATTGTCCACTGGAGATCTGATTGGCTCTGAGGACAGTTGCCTCGACAGTGTTGGTTTTATTCTGTCTCTGGCCCTTTCCGCACTTGGACCTCACCCCAGGTTTCCTCTGCTTTCGACTCGCGGCCATTTACCTTGCAGTTATCTCTGTTTATCTGTTGTTTTCTGCACTAATTTTGTCCCGCTCCAATTTGCATGCCCACTCCAGGTTACAAATTCTGCATTGCAAACAGGGGTGTTTGTCCTAGGTATGGCGGGAAAGGGGCAGGGAGGACTGAAACCGAGTTAAAAATTCTACACTTAAATCTGCACCAGGGCCACTCTGGATCGAGGGAAAGCCCACGCCAAAATAGGATCCATATACCCCGGGGCAACGGCAGTCCAAACCCGGGGTAACCACAATGTAATGCAGAACTGATTTTTAAAAACGGGATAAAAAGAGGGGTGAACTCGAGTGTAGTGCAGAACAGCTAGTAGGAGACAGTGCTGAACCAGGATTAAAGGTCTAGTGTGGAAAGGGCCTCTGACGCCTCTTTCCCAGTTTTTAAAAAAATATTTACTTCTCTTGTTCCCCGTATTCGGGCTTTCTCTGTGGTTGTGGTTGGCTCTGCACCCCACAGTGCCCGCCACCCTGTGTCAAAATTCCAAAGGTGCCCACAAGCTCAAAAAGGTTGGGGATCTGTGTGCAGGGATTTGGGATGAGGCCAGAGTGCAGAATGTGTTATCGGGTGACAATGTGGGAATAAGCAACGAGGCACCGTGTTAAAAGGTTGTTACCTCCAATGGCAAGATAGCGGAAGAAGAGCCAGCCACTGATCAGAGGCTCCTTGGGGCTGCGAGGGGGCTTGTTCATGATGTCCAAGTCAGGGGGGTTGAAGCCCAAGGCGGTGGCTGGGAGCCCATCAGTCACCAAGTTCACCCACAGCAGTTGCACGGGGATCAAGGCTTCAGGGAGACCCAGAGCAGCTGTGAGGAAGATACTGCAAAGAGAGAAAGAAGAGAAATGTGGCGCTGCATTACAGATTCACTGGTGACAACTGGGGGGGACGGGGGACGGACAGTGTTCCAAGTGTACCCTGCAGAACAAGAATTCCATTCATGGATTGATGCTGGACATCCAGCTCTTAAATGTTCTATGAAACCGAACCGTGTAAGGTCTAGATTACTGTAACGCGCTCTACGCTGGCATACCCTTGAGGCTGACCCGGAAGCTCCAGCTGATCCAGAATGTGGAGGCACAAGTCCTGACGGGAACGTCATGGATGGCTCATATTCAACCTGTGTTGTGCCAGCTGCACTGGCTTCCAGCGGAATACCGAGTTAGTTTCAAGTTCTTGGTGTTAACCTTTAAGGCCTTGAGCGGTCTGGGACCGATGTATCTGCGGGACCACCTCCTCCATTATGTTCCCGGGAGAGCATTATGCTCCGCAGGCAGGGGTCATTTCCTGCAGGAGCGCACAGGAGCGGAGCTCCGGCAGTAAAGAGCCCAGGGGGCGGGCACAGGCAACAAGCCCAACCCCTTGCTCCCAGCAGCCCTCAGTCAGAGCAAGAAGCAGGCAGGTAAGTTGCAGAGCCTCCCCGGTCCAAAACAGTCCAGTGGCACCTTTAAGACCAAGTTTTATTAAGGCACAAGCTCTCCCTCCTCTGCAAGGACAGGTCTGCATCCCCCCCCCCAACAGCTAGCAATCCAAAACAGTCCAGTGGAGCCTGAGTGTTGCCTTCTGACACACTTCCGGTGATGTCAGGGGGTGTGGCATATGCAAATAAACTATGCTAATGAGCTATGCTAATGAGCTCCTGCACCTCTTTTTCTACGAAATGACCCCTGTCGCAGGTAACAACTTACTGGTGATCCCTAGCCACAAAGAGGTCCAGCTGTCCCTGACCAGAGGCAGGGCCTTTTTGGTCCTGACTCCGACTTGGTGGAACTCTCTGCCTAATACTGTCAGAGCCCTGTGGGATCTTATGCAGTTCCGCACGGCCTGTAAGGCAGAGATGTTCCGCCAGGCTTTTGGTTGGGAACAGCAACGGTTTTCCAACATGGCTGGCACCCATCCCACACACCCCTCCAAAAACCTAGGAAGTAGCCAAATGGTCCAGAATTCCAGCTTTTCAATTGTGTAATTTTAAGTGATGCCATCTTGAATCTGTTTTAAATTGATTTTAATGTTATTAACGTTATTATATTTAAAGTCTGTATACTGTTCCTAAGGGTTATGCCACACTGTACATTGCCTAGAACCTGGCGCAAGTAGGGATAGGGTGAGCAATAAATCCAATAAATGGTAATAGTAATAGTAGCTGTTCCTGTATCGGTCAGACCTGAAGCTCTGACTCACAAAAGCTTATGCAAGAACAGGGTTGCCAACTCCACGTAGGGCCCGGTGATCTCCAGATATTAGGGTTGCCAAGTCCATCTTCCATCCCCAGCGGGGGACTTTGGGGGCGTTCCTGGCGGGGGTGGGGCATCCCCGACGTGATGACGTCACGTTGGGGACGTCCACCGCCCCCCCACCCGCCCATGCACAGGATCTCCAGAAACGGCAGTTCCCTGCACTTAAAGGAGCCGGCGTTTCCTTTTTAAATGCAGGAGCCGGTGTTTCCCCTTTAAGAACAGCCGCGTTTCCCTTTTAAGAGCTCGAAGCTGGCATTTCCCTGCAAGCTTGCGGAGATCAGGCTTGGGAGGAAACACAGGTTCCACAAACTTAAAGGGAGAGAGATGGGTGGCTGTGGGTGTTGGGGGCGGGGCTTCCCCTGCTGGCCATCGCGCGGGCAGCGGGTAGACCCCCCCCCAAAACGGGGGACCCCTGGCAAACCGGGGGGGTTGGCAACTCTACCAGATATTGTTGCGCAGAGGCAGGCAATGGCAAACCAACTGTGAACATCTCTCGCCTTGAAAGCCCTATAGGGTCGCCGTCAGATGTGACTTGACGGCACTTCCCACCACCATTGGTTGGCCTTCCCAATCAGGGGAGGAGAGCCGTGTCAACGTAGGCGGGAGAGGCGGAGCTCCTTACCAGACAACCTCACCCACGTTGGAGGAGATGAGGTAGCGGATAAACTGTTTCATGTTGTTGTAGATGGCACGGCCCTCTTCAACGGCGGCCACGATGGTGGAGAAGTTGTCATCTGCCAGCACCATTTCTGAGGCGCTTTTGGCCACAGCAGTGCCGGAGCCCATGGCAATACCAATCTCAGCCTTCTTGAGGGCTGGGGCGTCATTCACACCATCACCGGTCTGCAAAGAGAGAAACGAAGGAAACAAGGAGTGAGCCAGTGCATACTAGAATAAATAAAGATGGCGGAGGGGACCTTGATTTCGACAAAGCAACATGAGCGTGTATGAGGAAGTAATCATGTAAAGGCCTGGATCTGGCACTGGCCCATAGCCAGGATTTTTATTCGGGGGGACCCCCGCACACATACACTGCACCCCCCCAAGCCTGGGAGTGCCCCATAGAAGCCCCCGATGGCTCATGTAAGCCACCAAGGGAGAAGCAGAGTGAAGGGTTGACCCCCCTCTCGCCACATAGCCTGAAACAGAGCTCCAAATGCCACAAAGGGACGGAAGAGCAGTGCGCCCCCCCCTAACTACCCTCTGCCCGGCTACCACTTCTCTTTTGGCTGGCACTTCCGCTGTTGATAGTGGGGAGGCTGTGAGCGCCTCAGCAGCAGCTGTGGCGGCCCTCTCCGCCCGGCTCAGGAAAAGTCGGGAGGCCTGGGCGGTAAGGTGGGGGGCCGGCCCTGAGATGCCCCCCCTGTCGCTATGGGCCCGATCTAGCAACTCATTTCTACTAAGCAAGGAAACTTAATCCCGAGGAAGGAGTCTCTTTCACCATAGGAATGCTCCTTTCCTCTGGAGCAAGGCTTCTCACTTAGTGGAATCACGAGTTTGGATCCAGCCAGAATCCCCCCCCCTCCCAATCTCTGCCAATTGTTCTCCTTCACTACAGCCTGCCCAAGTGGCTTTTGTGCGTGTTGGTCCCTGAAGTCCCACCATAGTCTTTAGATCAAGGGGGAATCTCCCTCTCCTTTTCGCCAGCAGAAAAGTCATTTGGATTCAACTCATACGGTCCATTATACTATAAAATGGTGTGTGGGTGTGTGTGCGTGTGCAGCAGTCTCTTTGGGCCCTGGCAGTTCACAGTCCAGGTTCAAAGCTCTTTCAATAACCAGACATACCAATGAGCAGTATTCACACAGGACAGTATATCTAGGCATACACTTTCCCCCAGGGGTCATTTCGTAGAAAAAGAGCTAGGGGAACTCATTAGCATAACTCATTAGCATATGCCACACCTCCTGACATCAGGGGCCCGGCGGTGGACCTGCAAGGCCGGCGGGAGTGCGAGGAAGCCCCGCCAAGGCCCTGGGTTTTGACAACAAACAAGGTAAACAGAATAAGAAGCAAAAGGTGGGTGTGGCTGGATGACCACACTTCGGGTAACATGGGGGTGTGGCCTAATAGGCTAATGAGCTGTGCTGTCAGGGGTGTGGCCTAATATGCTAATGCGTTTCTGCTGTTGGGTGTGGCCTGTTATGCTAATGAGTTCCTGTTGGGCTTTTTCTACCAAAAGAGCCCTGCCAATGAGCAATATTCACACAGGACAGTATATCTAGGCATACACTTTCCCCCCATAAACCCATGGGACAAGGATTGTCACTGGCCGTTTTTTAGTCACCCGAACCATTCTTCCACCCCACCCTCTTCACCCATCCGCTCACCATGGCTGTGATCTCATCGAAACTCTGCAGGAACTCCACAATCTTTGACTTGTGGGAGGGTTCAACGCGAGCAAAGCAGCAGGCTCTCTTGCAGGCCTCCCGTTGCTCGGCCAGGGGCAAGTCGTCAAATTCACGGCCGGTGTAGGCTCTGCCAGTAACCTCCTCAGTCTCGGTGAAGATGCCAATACGGCGGCAGATGGCAATGGCTGTGCCTTTGTTGTCTCCGGTGATCATGATGACGCGGATGCCAGCTTCACGGCACAGCTGGATGGAGCCCATGACCTCTTTACGGGGTGGGTCCAACATGCCTACGCAGCCCACAAAGGTCAGGTCCGTCTGTGTGTAGAGGACAGGTCAGAACAACCTTGCAAGTAAGTATGTCTGCTAAAATCATTAGCCCATATAGCTTCTCCCCCTGCAACTTTGTAGCCAAGCAGGGATTCGAACTCAGGTCTCCCTGGTCTTACTTTACATAAGAACATAAGAACATAAGAGACGCCAATGTTGGATCAGGCCAAAGGCCCATCCAGTCCAACACTCTGTGTCACACAGTGGCCAGAAATAACAGGTGCCATCAGGGCCAGCACCAGTGGGGCCAGGACATTAGAAGCCCTCCCACTGTTGACCCCCCCCAAGCACCAAGATGACAGAGCATCCCTTGCCCCAGAGCCCCTATCTATACCTTGTGGCTAATAGCCACTGATGGACCTCTACTCCATATGCTTATCTAATTCCCTCTCGAAGCCGTCCATGCTTGTAGCCGCCACCACTTCCTGTGGCAGTGAATTCCATGTGTTAATCCCTCTTTGGGTGAAGAAGTACTTCCTTTTATCCGTTCTAACCCGACGGCTCAGCAGTTTCATGGAGTGCCCACGAGTTATTGTATTGTGAGAAAGGGAGAAAAGTACCTCTTTCTCTACCTGCTCTTTCCCATGCATAATCTTATAAACCTCAATCATGTCACCCCTCAGTCGTCGTTTCTCCAAGCTAAAGAGCCCTAAGCGCTTTAACCTTTCCTCATAGGGAAAGTGTTCCAACCCTTTTATCATTCGAGTTGCCCTTTTCTGCACTTTTTCCAAAGCTATAATATCCTTTTTAAGGTGTGGTGACCAGAACTGCACACAGTATTCCAAACTTTGACTACAATAAGAAGGAAAACATACAAAGCTGTGTGTGGATGCTAAGCAAACAATTACCGGCCAGTCATGTACAAATTATGTATTGTATTGCAATAAAATAACGATAATTACAAAAGTTACAAAACATTATATAACATGTACAACAAAGGTCCAAAATGGTATAGTTGACCAAATTTTCCAGATAATATGTTCATTTCGTAGTCTTCTTCCGAACAGGACCAATGTATATTTTCAAACTTTAGGATGTTCCAGCGTAACTCCAAGGCACGCCACCATTCCACTTAATGAGGTCCCTGTTCCCTTTTGCCTCTGAGCCTCCAGAGGTGGCACTTCTCTTCTCAAGTGAAAAACTGTTAAGCATTTGTTAGCAGCTTTCGCTCTGAATGGCAGGTTTACCTCCTACTAAATAGATTAAGCGACATGCCCACTATGTAAACATTTCTAGTGGCTTCCCACTAGATGTGGAGAAACTTAACAGTTTTCCACTTGAGGACAGAAGTGCCACATTTGGAGTTTGAAGTTTGAAAATATACATTGGTCCTGTTCGGAAGAAGACTACAAAGAAGACGAAGAAGACGAAGAAGAACAAGACGAAGAAGAACAAGACGACGAAGAAGAAGAAGACGAAGAAGAAGACGAAGACGAAGACGAAGACGAAGAAGAAGAAGAAGAAGAAGAAGAAGAAGAAGAAGAAGAGATTGGATTAATACCCCAACACTCAGAGTATTAGTGTGATGCTTCCAGTTAGTGAGTAGAGCCCAGCCAGAGAGTCAAATTGAAGCAAGAGAGGCTATGAGTCAAAATAAACTTCTAGAGCTTTGAGGGGTAAGATTATCTGGCTTCCATGACTGCATTTTGAATATGTATACAAGAGGAAGAGGAAGAAAAAGAAGAGGAGGAACCCGGTTCTCTCAGATTAGAGTCCACACACTTAACCACGACACCAAACTGGCTCGAACGAACACATTATCTGGAAAATGTCATCAACTATACTGATTTGGACCTTTGTTGTACATCTTATATAATATTTTGTCATTTTTGTAACGATTGTTATTTTATTGCAATACAGTACACAATGTGTACACGGCTGGCCGGTAACTGATTGCTTAGCATCCACACACAGCTTTGTGTGTTCTCCTTCTTATTGTTGACTAGTGGCTGTGGTTCTCTTTTTTCTTACTTTGACTATACTACACCAGTTCTTCCTCAGTCCCTTTCGGCTCTGGGTTTTGAGACCCTGATTAAACTCCCACCACGCTGATGTGATTCCCCACCCCCACCCCCACTTTACCTCATATTCAGCAAACTTGGTGGCGTCCTCAAGAATCATGTCTTCCCTCTTTGGGGGGGTGTCACGTGTAGCCAGAGCCAAACAACGGAGCGTGTCCCGTCCTGTGCCCCACTCCTTGATGACTTGATTGATGTGGTCCTTGACAATGGGGGTTAGTGGGACGCGGGTAGTTCCCACACGGACATAGTTGCAACGGTCAATCACACCCTCAGGGGCACCCTGTGTGTAAGGGAGAAGCAGCAACAGTATGATTTCAGGAGGAAGGGAGTGGGGTGGTGGCTAGCGTCTCACTGTTTGGTCCAGGAACTAGGCTGGATGTTTCAAATACTGTTTTTTTGGGGGGGGCAAGTGGTAGCAAAGGGGTAATAACAGTGGTTCCTGGTGGCAGTGGGGTGGATCCCACCCTCTATCCTACAACTCCACTGAGCAAAATTTGAAGGCTTTCTCTGACCTAAGGAGCCTCCCCAGGGGTCATTTCGTAGAAAAAGAGCTAGGGAAACTCATTAGCATATGCCACACCCCCTGACATCACCGGAAGTGTGTCATAAGGCCACACCCCCTGACATCACCGGAAGTGTGTCATAAGGCCACACCCCAGGCAGGCAGGGGTGGGAAGAGGCGGGGAGGAAGCAACTTACCCCTCCCTCTTCTCCTTCCTACTCCTGGCTGAATGAGGGCTGGAAGCGGGGCGGCCGGAAGCAGGGGGCGGGGTGTGCCCCGCCCCCCGTACCTCACCCGGGGGAACTGCGATCCCCCGCAATCCCCCCGAAATGACCTCTGGTTGGATCCACGCCAATGAAGGCCTAATTCTCGCTAAGCTAGTGGATATATACTTTCTGCTTGTCAGATCTCAGAAGCTAAGCAGGGTCGGCCCTGGTTAGTCTTTGGATGGGAGACCACCAAGGAAGCCCAGGGTCGCTATGCAGAGGCAGCCAATGGCAAGTGACCGCTGAATGTCTCTTGCCTTGAAAACCCCTGTGTGGGGCACCGTGAGTCAGCTGCAACTTGTTGGCAAAAAAAAAAAAGGCTGAAGATGGAATATCTACGCTTCCTAGCTGCTATGGTGGCAGGGCGGGATCAAGGGAGGTGCCACGGGGCCAGCACTGACCTTAATAAACATCTTGTTGCCAACGGCAGCCCGAGAGGCTTTGGCTGGGGAGCAGTAAACGGACATGGACTTCCTGTCGCGGGAAAACTCCATGGTGAATTCCTTCTTCATGAGTTGTTTGATCACCTGCAGATCAAAGAGGATGCCGTGGGTGTTGGTGGGGGGCGCTGAGGGACTCGGTCGCTACGGAGTGAGGCTCCGCGCTGGATCGGCCCCAGGTCGCTCAGCGAGCGGCTTGGCCCCGCGGGGGGACTCGAACCCAGGACCCGGCCCAGCGTCCTGAGCCAGTGTTCCCCCTAAGCGGAGTCAGCGTGAGCCGGCTCACAGTTTTTTAGCCTCCGGCTCAAGGTTGTTTGGTATCTTTGCAAATCTGCCTTGAGTCTCAGAGAGCTATAAGTCAAGTAAGTAAGTAAATAAATAATCTATTAAAGTCATTTCAGAAATAAAACAGTCATTTTGCTTTCAGGACCTTTGTGTCTAGGATAAGAATGGGGGGTGGGGAGGAGACAGGGAGAAGAGAGGGCTGATCCCAGTTTATACTGGGTTGGATCCAACCAGCTTTTCCACTGGCACAAAAGGGAGGGTTCCCTTGAACCACCCCAAAAAAGGTGTTCTGGGGATCATGGGACAAAAGTTATGCAGGACAGGGCCTGTAATAAAGAGGAGAATTGGGTGATATTAAGTGAGAAAGCTGGCTGGATCCAACCCAGTACTTGGCTCCTGCTTGCGTGTATCAACTAGCAGGTCCACAGCAAGTAACTTTGTGACAAACACACCCAGAGTGAGGGAGTGGCTCTCAACATGAAACAGCAAAACCCTAAATCCAAGTAGTGTAGTATGTTAAATAATGTTAACAATATATGATCATTTTTGAATAACACGTACATGCCATGTATTAACTGGGATAGTTTGTACTTCCTGTTGATTCCCCAATGGAATCCACGTTGGTAGTAGTTTAGGGGAAACAGGACACCTAAAGAAACAGCTGGGAAACAAAATTATAGCCATGCCCCTTTGCACTGACCAATCCCAGAAGCAAAAGCTGGGAGCAGCTTTGCTTCACACCGAGCAACTGAGCAGGACCTTGTGTTCATGGTTTTCCTTATAAGTAAAAAAGCTAGAGAGATATCTTTTATATTTAAGAGGCCGAAAGTTCGGGGAGCATGCCTGAAGAGACCAGGTCCCCAAAGGCCCATTTTACTGTGGCTGCAGCCCATCAGAATCCAATTCCTGATCTGTCTGTGTGTCGACAAGCAAAGGGGTAACTGGCTGTACCGAACTGTGCAACAATACAGGGCGCTGGGGGGGACAGCCACAGGGAAACAGTACTTACGGCGTTGCAAGCATTGGCTCGGTCCACCTTGGAGAGGGTCCGTACATCTGTGTTGAAGACGTTCATCTTCTCAACCAGACACGTCAAGGCGACCTCAGTGGCCTCACCCACCTTCTCATAAACACCTTTGGACTGTTAGAAGGAAGAGTTACAGTTAAGCATGATGTGTGGAATGTAGTCCACAGCTGCAGCGAGCGTGATGGGAGATCTGTCCTCACGCCGAGGTCCAAAATGGGAGCATCACCTGGAATGAGCATGTTCCACAGACATAAAGAATTGGCTCACACAGACCCTCTGGTCTTGGATGCATTTGGTATTAAACAGGGCTTTTTTTGTAGAAAAAGCCCAGCAGGAACTCAGTAGCATAATAGACCACACCCAACAGCAGAAGCTCATTAGCCTATTAGGCCACACCCCTGACAGCACAGCTCATTAGCTTATTAGGCCACACCCCACATTCCCAGAACTGTGGTCATCCAGCCACGCCCACCTTTTGCTTCTTATTCTGTTTACCTTGTTTGTTGTCAAAACCCAGGGCTTTTTTTGTAGCAGGAACCCTTTGCATGTTAGACCACACACCCCTAATGTAGCCAATCCTAATGAGTTCCTGCTGGGCGTGGCCAACTCGGGAGCCAGCCGGAACTCCGTTCCTGTGCGTTCCTGCCCCAAAATAGCCCTAGTATTAAATCCCCCCTCCAAAAAAGGTGTGCACTTTTTATTGGGACTAGTGTCCTTTTTTACAAGGATACTTTTTTTTTTTACAAGAGCCCTGACCTATCTCGTCAGATCTCAGAAGCTAAGCAGGCTTGGCCCTGGCTGGTATGTGGGTGGGAGAGCACCAAGGAAGTCCAGGGTTGCTACACAGAGGCAGGCAATGGCAAACCACCTCGAACATCTCTGTTGGGGTTGCCAGAAGTCAGCTGCAACTTGAAGGCCAAAAGGAAAAGGAAAAAAAAGCAGCTGCCATGGATCCTGCCAACGTCTCTGCTGGTGAAAGAGAGAGGAGGGCTCTTTTCAACCATCAAAAAGGACACACCAGCAGTTGTGGAACAAGCGTGGACAAAAGCCACGTGGTAGGGAGTTGCACCGAGGAGGGAAATTGGGTGAGAGCAAAAGGATAAGCTGGTGAGATCTGACCTGTTTTCAAGATAAGCCACAGTGATTCAAGGTTGCCCTGACTAGCAAGGATCTTAAACTTGGAGGGAGAGCGGATATGAAGAAGGAAAGAATTGCTCACCTCGTTGAAATCCAGAGAGGAGTCGTTACAGAGGGCACAGATGGTAGCAAGCTCAACGAGACCATCGTAATTTCCAGTGTTCACTTTCTTATCATTCTTCAGGCTGTAAAAGGAAATGGTTTAATATGATTTAAAAGACATCAGAAATCATCTTTAAAGATAGTACACACACACACACACACACACACACATAAAAGCAGACAAAAGAGAAAAGTTTGCTTATAGCATTTTTATTCTTGAATTGTATAAACTGCCTTTAGACTGTTTCCTGGGCCTCTTCTGGGAGAGGCCAAATTAAAGATTAGGGGGTTCAACAACCTGAGGAGTGACATACTTCTGTGGTGTAAAATCAAGTAGGATTTTAAAGGGTCTTGTTTATCCCTCAAGGTGTAAGATTGCGATAACTGGACCATTTTAGGGGTCATATTTGAGATCACTCACAGGATATGACATTTAAGTAAATAAATAGAGCACTGGGCTGCCCCACAGATCTGTTGTGCTTCAGAAAATGCACCATAAGACCCAAAAGATGGTCTTGGGGCAGCAGATCTGCTACATTGGCAAGGTTAGGTTGGTGTGGACCCGATTAGTAGTCTGGATGGGAGACTGCAGGCAGGGCCAGAGAAGAGGAGGATCCACGTATGAAAAAAATAAATATTTTTGACAACAACAAGAAGAAGAGATTGGATTTATACCCCACCCTTCACTCGGAGTCTCAGAGTGGCTTACAAGCTCCTTTCCCTTCCCCTCCCCACAACAGACACCCTGTGAGGTAGGTGGGGCTGAGAGAGCTCTGAGAGAACTGCTCTTTCAAGGACAGCTCCGACAGAACTATGGCTTGCCCAAGGTCATCCAGCAGCTGCAAGTGGAGGAGTGGGGAATCAAACCCGGTTCTCCCAGATTAGAGTCCACACACTTAACCACAACACCAAACTGGCTCTGGGAGAAACAAATGGAACCACAACAGGCATCTCTAGACTGATTGCCGGGCCTATTATAGGAGAGCCCAAATTAAATGTTAGGGGGTTCAACAACCTGAGGAGCTTGATATTACTTTGAAGTAAAATAAATCAGGATTTTCAGGTGTCTTGTTTATCTCTCAAGGTGCAAGGCTGGAGTAATAGGATTGTTTTAGGGGCTAGATGTGGATTCACTCACACTTCTCCCTCAGGGGCATAGGTGGAGCCGGTGATTGAGAACTCATTCAGAGAGCAGATGTCGCCATCCACTTTATCAATGACGAACATCTATAGAAAAAGGAAGAGAGAGAAAGAAGGGTCAGCATCCGAACGAGCGACACAAGCTGTGACCTCTTGGTAGGGAAGGAAGTGACAACCTCTCACCTTGCAGACGGACATCTGGTTGGTGGTGAGGGTGCCGGTCTTGTCGGAGCAGATGACAGAGGTGCAGCCCAGGGTCTCCACAGAGGGCAGGCTTCTGACAATGGCGTTCTTCTTGGCCATACGGCGGGTGCCCAGGGCTAAGCAGGTTGTGATGACAGCGGGAAGGCCTGAGGCAGAGAAAGAAGAGGAAGGGGAGATGAGAAAGGAAAGTTGGGAAAAGGGGGAGCATTCAAGCAGGTGTTTCCAAATCATCCCATTCATATAATCCAATCCTCCTTCAGTTCTTAGGGTTCTTACCACATGCAGCTCTACTTCTTGCACAGATTTCATTGGAAAGCGTGCATCGGCTAGAGCAGAGGTGTCCAAATTCATTAGTTATGAGGGCCGGATCTGACATAAACGTCACTTTTTTGGTCTGGGCTATGTGTGCTATAAAACGTAATGCCAGGTACTGGAGATATAAACTTTATAAAGGACACAGGCAAACCCAATTAACAATATTAATTTTTTACTCAAAATACAAACACGCTTAAAACATGAACACTCTTACAGTATTTCCATAAATAATCTCCCTGATGCCCACCCTCCCACTTCCATCGCCCATTACTCATTAGCACTGAGACAATCAGTGCTCCCCCTAAGCTGTGGAGTCTCGTGAGCAAAAAAACTACTTTGTTAGCTGCTGGCATTAAAGTTTTGAGCAAGCGATTTGGCTGCTGCATAAATTAGTTTGCTCTGGAGCCCTCCTACCTGAGCTAAGACAAAAATGTCTGAGCCGGAGGCTAAAAGACTGTGAGCTAGCTCACATGAACTCAGCTTAGAGGGAACACTGGAGACAATATACATGGACATAATGCACAGCCTCTGTCATCTGGCAATAAAGGTAATGACCAGTTGCTCGCGGGCTGGATAAGAGACCCATGGGCTGCTTCCAGCCCACGGGCCATATGTTTGACACCCCTGTTCTAGAGTCCATCTAGCCCGCTGTTTTTAAATCTCACCCTTCCTCCAAGGACTCTCAGCTCAGAAGTAGGGATAATGCCTCCCATATAGAACATTCCAGATTCATTCTGCTGCTACCTGTGCCAAACAGCCATGCCTCAAGCAGTGTTCCCTTTCCCTCCAGCCTCAGATAGCAGAACAGGAATGGGGAAGATCTTGGGTTGGATCCAAACACTGGTAAAAAGGGGAAGAGGGCCCTACCAAATAGTGTAGGCTAGGGTTCATGGGCCTTGCTTTGACAAAAGCCATGTGGTACTGCAGCTGTACTAAGGATGGGAACTGGATGAGACTGAGCGAAAAAGCTGGAAAGATTCAACCCCTTGGAAACCGGAGTGTTGTCAAAGTATCAGCCATTAGAGCAAGAGGTTTAGCCACTGATTGTTTAATTCCTTTGCTAGAATGAACCAAAGTCTAGCTCGAGAATAAGCAACCTTTTGGGCCCCAGTGCCAACCCCCCCCCCCCCATCCAACGTCTACTTGTGATGATGCTGGTGTGCCAACAAACAAAACAGAGGGAGGACAGAAGCCAAAGGTTATTCTGGTCTAGATGTACCAGGAGCAAGCTCAGCCCCAGGGGGGTGGTCGCCAACTCAAGGGCTTACCTCAAACCCCTGAACGGAGAACCACCCCCACATGCGGGGCAAAATGGTCTGGACTGACTTTTCATCTTTCTAAAAAGATCATCTCAAACCAGGGTTTGGAAAGATCAGAGAGCAAAGCAGGGGAAAACACAGAAAGCAGACGATTAGAGGTACAGCATCCTGATGTTACTAAAAAAACAAAACAGCTTCAGTCCAGAGCAAAATCTTCTCACCCTTTCTTTTTTTTGCTGTCCATGCTTGATTGTATCTAAGAAATAGCTTTGAATAACTTCAGTAACTGCACATTGAGATTTTAAAAAAATAAATAAATAAACAGCTATGCTTTTTCATGTACTATTGTATTATTAGTAATAATTAATTGTGGTCAAGTCATAACCGACTTATTGTTGACCTCTCATGGGGTTTTCAAGGCAGGAGAGGAGCAGAGGTGGTTTGCCATTGCTTTCCTCTGCAGCATCTCCCTTGGCGGTCTCCCGTCCAAGTACTAACCACGGTCCACCTAGCTTAATTGACAAGCTCAGGTTAGATCCAGCTGGGCAGCCGTGTTGGTTTGAAGCAGCAAAACAAAGTTTGAGTCCAGCGGCACCTTTACAACCAACAAAGTATTATTCAAGGTATGAGCTTTTGTATGAAAGCTCATACCTTGAATAAAACTTTGTTAGTCTTAAAGTTGTCGCTGGACTCAAGCTCAGGTTAAAGGTAAAGGTTCCCTTGCTCGAAAGCCAGTCGAATCCGACTCTAGGGTAGCGGTGCTCATCTCCGTTTCAAAGCCGAAGAGCCAGCGCTGTCCGAAGACGTTTCCGTGGTCATATGGCCGGCATGACTAAACACCAAGGCGCACGGAACGCTGTTACCTTCCCACCGAAGTGGTCCCTATTTATCTACTTGCAATTTCTTGCTTTCGAACTGCTAGGTTGGCAGGAGCTGGAACTAGAGACGGGAGCTCACTCCGTCATGTGGCAACCCAGGTCTCGAACTGCTGAGCTACCGACCTTCCACAGCCTGCAGTTCAGC